ATGGAGATCATGAATATACAAAAATAAATAATTTTTAAAAATAAAAATAATAATTTAGTAGAAAACATTTGGACAGTTAGTTTCCATTGTTTTTAGATGAAACACCTACTTGTATTCATCTTAAAGATGGATGCTTTACACTATTTGGACCGCATATGTAGTCATGCGGTCCAACCAGCATGAAAAATTTTCCTTAGAAATAAGAGATTGAAAAATGTTGCATGTGTCTACTTCTTTGCCGCTCACCTATCACTCTAAGGACATGGTGCACCACACCGGGGTAGCTATAGACACCCCATTTGAAAATGGTTATTTTTCCTAATTTTCTAAACCCTAATTTCCTAAAAACCTTAGAAAAATCCCCTAAAATGGCACAATAAACCCATAGGGACCACAATAACCTAGTACACTCTAGTGCACCCATTCCCATAGTCCATACACCCCGAATCATGGTTCTTATCTTCTAAAAATCCCTAGGAAATATCCCAAAATCCTAGGAATTATCTAAAATCCAAGAAGGATAAAAGATCTTGAGATTTAGGATAAATTCCCGAGCTCAAAAACAGATAAAGATTCATCCAAAACGAACCGAATCAAGATTAACTCAAAATCCCAAAAATTAAAGCCATGCCCAGACATCAGGAAGTCCGTTGTCTAACCCAGAGGTCTCCAACAATGGAGAGTCAGTCATCTATCCCTTGTTTAACCTGTGACTATCCCTTTTGATTTGAAGTATGCTTAGGTGATGGGCATTCCGCCATCTGACTCAAAAAGGCCCACACGACGGGCACCTCAACATCCATGCCTTTAACCAGTCAAATCTTGATTTAGAAAGATAAATACATTGGATAAACTCAGAAAGCACATTTAAACGAGCGGAAGGGACAGGGTCATTCATTGAACCTAAGCCATCCTAGAAACATTAGAGCTCTAGAGCAATCTAACTATTTCAAAAACCGTCAGGCATCCAACTATTTATGTGCTATTCAAATACACCCATATGCAGATATCTGTGTTATTTTTGTATGGAAAAAATTTATACAAGGTGTCAACCTTATATTAAAAGTAAACTGCACCCAAAAAATCCACTGGAGAAGGTTTTTCCTATGCTGTAAAACCATCAAATCGATCATCTCGACCTTGAGATTCATAGATATAAAAAAAGAAGGAAAGGAATGGGGGGGGGGAAGGGGGTTGAGTCCAAAAACACATTATTTGGACCGTCCATTTTCAAGATTTTCAAGTGTTCATAGATCTGCTTGATTATCACCATTTTTGGAACTTTAAATTTCATAATTGGGGGCAGCAATAGATGTTCATTTCATCACAAGACTTTACAACACCGAAATTGCATTTTTGGCATAGTTTTGAGGTGCACCTTACTTCAATAATATAAGGTTGACACCTTATACAAACCTCACCTTTTTTGTACTTTTTTTGCATTTGTATGTATTGTCACTAATGTTTTTGAAACGCATTCAAAACTTCAAACCATATAAAATTCTAGTGAAAAAACATAAACAAGTCCATGATTTATTAGTCTCTAACTCTCCAATTCGTACTCTATAGTGACACACAGTCATGATACACAAATAAAAGATGTAATACAAAAGAAAAGTATAAACCCAATAGTCTAAATGTCCAATACATTTCAAAAGCAATTGATTTGGGTTGTTTGTAGGGTTTAGATTTTTTTATTTTTATTTTTCATCCTGGGGGTTTAGAACACCCAAATACTCTTTTAAGACAAATTTGTTGTCAAAATAATCAAAAATGCCCTTAGGTGCCTAGATACTAGCATCCAGGGAGGGACGCACAGGCCTAAGCTTGCACCCTAGGGCCCTTTGGGCTACTAGGCACTGGGCGGACCATTTTTTTTTTTTTAACAATGATGTATAAACCCTAGCCTTGAGAGATCTAAAAACCCTAGACAGAATTTTAGAGAGAAAACACTAGCTTAGAAAACCCTAGCCTAGAGCTCTAAGCCTTTATACTTTCCTAAACCCCAGAAACCATGGGTGCAATAAACCCTAACCCTAGATCTAGTAAGCTAAACCCTACTTCAATTCATTCTTCTTCAAAACCCTAATCTAATCCCTAGAATGAGCAGCCCCGAGGCACCCTTCAAGAAAGAGAAGGAAATTGGTGTAAACAACCTGTGATCTAATAAGGGAGGTAACTCCAGGTTTCGAGCATCCTAGGCCAAGCAGCCCAGTTAGGTAATTCTTTTTTCTTTTAATTTATATATTTCTGGTTTATATAGATCTATTAATTTGTTTTGACTAAGAAGATTAGCTGGCATTGCCAACGATCTAAAGGGGAACTAACCCATCGCGGTCAATTTGTCTCCAACTTGTACTACAACCGTCCCCACGAATCCCTATTGATTCTTTTAAATTTAATCAGTTTACAGTGTAAAATTCAGAGAGGGCTTTTGTCAAAATTTTCCTTGATTTTCACCGTAAATACATATTCAACAGTTCCACACACAAAAAGCAGCAGTATTTGTGTGGTGTGGAACTTTAAGGGGGGCATCCAAATGCCGCATTGTATACAGTTTTGATCGGAATTGAGTTCACCTCTATATTGTTGTTCAAAACCCAAATGAAAACCACTCAATGGCCCTAAAATTGTGAAAGAGACTCCCTGATCCATCATAAATGTAATGACATCGTCTCATGGATCTTCCAGCCTCACATACTGAATGAGTACCATCTAGCTATTCAAAGGAATCACAACATTGTTTTTATAGGAACTCCATCACGGGTTGAGGATATGGTCATAACTATTAGATCACATCCCATACCAGGATGTTTGGGTAAAAGCACTCGTCACTCCATCACTCAATGTTAAGCATGTTTGGGTAAAAGCAAACATAGGATGCCAGGACCAAGACAAACGAAGAAACAAGCGACCACATGTAAACTCCCTGTCCCACAACCCTACCTCACCCAGCCTATTATATCAAATTCTGCATAGCCCATGGACAGCATATTGTCCTTATTACATTTTTTTTTCTTTTCAACACTTTATTTGTGTTTTATTCATAACAGCAAAAATTTCAATCCAATTACCAAGTCAAAAATCAAAATTGAAGAAAAACGTATTGTCTAGACAAAACAAAACATTACATTTGAATTCAATTGTGAGAAAAAAGTTCAATACCTCCAGAAAAGCTGTACAGATTTTAAGATACACACACAACCCATGAAAACATTTTGGGGATATAAATTTAAGTGTAGAGTGGAAAAAAAATCCAAAGAATGACTTTGGATTTGAGGAGCATAGAAGGCAGGGGACATTAATTGATCAAATAACATAATTTCTGAAATTTCCTACAGTGAAAATACTCTTAAAGAATATGTTGATCGAACATGTTTTATACTGAGAGAAAGGAAAAAACCATGTATGCTGCTCGTGGTTGGGAAATATAATACTTCCTAAATAGAGGACAATTGGTCTGACCTTGTTGAGGTAGTTCAACTGTGTGATAACACAGACAACTGCAAGTACAATAAAAAACCACGTTTGGAGATAACGCATCTGGTTTGTTCCTTCCAATGTAACCTTTATGGCAATTCCAATGGCTTTTATGCTCATAACCTGCACCTCAAAGACAAATAGAGAAACAACCCAAGCAATCAGAAAAGTGCAAGGAGATTACCCAAACCCATCACAACACAAGTTAAGGAAAGAGGTGTTACCGTCAAGGAGCCCATAAGAGAACAGATGCCAAGGTAAACCAATACATTCGAGTGTCCATAGAGATGTTCAAAGTGCAACATCAATGCCATCACAATGACCAAAGCAGCAGCCGTATAGAAAAGGAAGGCTAAAATTACAAAAGAGAAAATACCAAATGTCAAAAACACAACTAACACGGTTCCACCATTTTCCTAAAAGCCTTAGAAAAGGAAATTCACCATTAACCATAGCATCAAAAGGAATACCTGGCTGAGTTGCTAAATTCCAAATTTCTTGAACAGAGCTAGGAGTATGCTCTTGAGGTGCATGAATTACGATAATTGTTGAACCCACTATGCACGCTACGCACCCCAAAATCCCCATTTTCTGCAGCCGCTCATTGAGCATAAAATGTGCCAGTACAGCACTGTAGAAAGCGATAACCAAAATCAAAGACAAAAAAAAATGATAAAAGACACAAATAAAAATTGATTCTCCAATTCTGCAAGGAAAAATCTTAAATCTCCAACACACAAAAGACATAAACCAACCAATAAAAATTTAATCACTAACCAACTAAAGGAGACCAGAAAATAAAGGAAAACTTAATCTCTAATTAACAAAAAAATTTCAGGGCTTCTTGTTACCTGACAATTATACTCAATGCGCCTAAAGGTGTTACTAGGACAGCAGGGGCGAAAATGTAGGCCACGAAGTTGGCAACCTCTCCAACGATCACTGTTTGTAAGAAAAACTTGAAAGAATAGCATCAATTAAGCATGCACCAATAACACCAGCACACCAATATCAATGGGAACCAACCAGGAAAATACTACAAATGTAACTTACTGGTTATCATTCCAGCCCACCAAAGAGGCTCCAAGAGATAAGCATATCCTCCAACACCTTCAGCACATTGCAAACAAACATAAAAAAGATATCCGTGAAACAATTTCGTGCCTTCTTCTTCGTTTCCATATAATGGATAAAAGAATTGCTAGCTTCACTCATGTCTTTGTTATTCTCAGTCAAAAACAGGGATGTGCATACGAATCCAAGGGAACTTCTGGTATCACACCCATGATTTGGATGAGAATAGCAAAAAGATGAAAAATAATTGCAATACACCTTCCAATCCTCACCCAAAAATGTTATAAAATAAAATAAAAAACATTTTCAAGACCCAAAATTCAAGTTGAATATCAATTTGTATTATACACAGTCAAATGATATGCGAAAGATAGATTGGGTAGGTTTGCATCAACTGTGAAGGTTAGCAAAGAGATCGAATAAAAATAGACAGATGAGCTGTTTCAGAATCGCTACAATTGAATCCTTTTTCTTTCACAATTTTTTCTTATTTTTTGCTTTTCTTTATTCGAACGTCAAAGGCAACTGATTGAAACAGATCTCCATTCTGATAAGCCATGGCATTCAAGCTTATATCATTAAATCTCAGATTTACACGAACATAAAAATCAATTTGAAGAGAGAGAGAAGATCAATTATAGATTTCCATTACAGAGAAATTTACTTAAAAAACATACCTGCACGCGCACCTGAAGCACCAGCTCGTTTAAGCCCCTTCTTCTTCAATATGAAACTTGCACCAATAAAAGCACTGGAAACGAGAGCCAGAAGGAGGCCTTTGCTGTTATCTGAAGAAAACAACATCCCTCTCTCTCTCTCTCTCTCTCTCTCTCCCTCCTCTCTCTCTACTACTACTACTTCTTT